TCCGACTTTATTTTATTGGTGGACAAAAGTCCCTATATATCTTTCGATTTGCACGGATTTCAAGTTTCCCTGAAATCGGTTCAGATACAGATATATAACAAAAACGGGACGTCTGTTAGGATACATATGCAGAATATACCCAAAGTGGTGAAGGTCATAAGGGTTTCCTTATTGGTCATAAGTGCTAAAAAAGCTCTATGCTGAGAAAAGTATTGCTTATAGAATTGTTATTTATAAATTTAAATCGTATAACATTATTTCTTTATTCCTCCTATATTGTTCATCTAACGCACACTAATGATTTGCCTTTATTTGAAAACGTTTCTATTTGCATTTTATTTAATACATTTTATTGAAAATAATTTGACATTTTACATATTCAGAATTTATGACCGCAAAACTATAAATCACTTTCACAGTGTGAATTTCATAAGAAAAATAAAAGAAAACCACAATACGCATATACATACAATGTCCTAAGTCGTATGCTTACATATATATTTCATCGTGATTGTCGCCCATCATCCTCCTCCCCACACACCAAACGTAATGCTCGATTTCAACTCTTTAATGTATGACGTTCTTCTTACATCCATGTCGTCACGGCGGCATGCTGCATATGATTCTGCCGATGAGAAGTGCCGTTTGTAAGAGATGTGGCGTCTGGATTGTGATTTTTTTCATTTATTTATTTATGTTGAAAACATTGTTGTTGCTGTTGTTTATTCATGTCACAAGACATTACATTGCCATTAAAATGACAATTAAATTGCAATAATTATTTAAACGTTTAAAAGTGTTTGGTGTTGATATTGAATGTTTTTTATAGTTCACTAAATGATTGGCGTTGCATATAAAACGATGCTTACCTGCCTGCGTTACCTGGGAAATCAATTGATTTTGGCAAATTTGAATTATGCTATTTGTCTATTTTAAAGTTTAGTCATTAGTTGTCATTATGCAGGTTATTTGAGGTTTGCGGCAGCAACTCAAAGGATATGGAGAAATATTCAGCAGTGGTTACAAGAGCGAATTACGAACACTTTGGACAGAAATGGAATTTGTCGTATTCGCATTTTTCCACTTCTTTTCACAGAAGTTGAAGTTTTTGGCATGACTGTTTTAAAGAACAAGCCTTAAGTTTGGCCGGGTCAGCTACTTAACATGACAGTTCCCCACGTGCCTAAAAATTAGGATCAAAAGTCGGATGAAAATATATATGGAACCTATAAACCTGAAACGACTTCAATCCAATTTCATGCAAACAGACAAAGGCTCCTCCATTTGCATAAAATCGGACAAATATATACGTGGGTGCTATATTTAAATCTGAACCGATTTTAAACTTAACAAAACAGTTCGTCTTCGGTCGGCTCACAAGAGGGACACAATGTAAGAATATAATACGCCCACTGGCTTAAAATAAAATTTTCCAAAATGGCGATTTGCTAAGGCTTAACTAACACGTTTTTTAATTATCAAACGAATAACCTATCAAGTCTTAGCGGGTCTACACAAAATGTCAAGTTATGGAAGCTGAACACGTTTTTTAAAGGTTTTTAAGACTTTGTATGCGCATGATATACTATGGTCGTATACCTTCTATACTAAATAGAAAGTGGACTAGTTGGAGGTGTAAAGCGAAAAAAAAAAACAGTAAGGAAAGTTCAAAAATCGGACGGGGGCGACTATATGATACCCTTCACTACTTTGGGTATATACAGGAGATATTAATATCTATAATATCCTGTGGATAACCATTGAGATGGAATCGGGCGAAATAAAATGTGCTATCTACATAGATATTTGATATTCCGAAATCAATGAAAAATTGCATGTCGGAATTGGATTCTTTGGTGTACTATCGAGTAAAATTATGTATGGGAGCTATATATAAACACATGGATCTAATTGAGCAACCGTTGTATACACCATGTGTGTTTTGTTATCACTCTAAACTCAATTTAGTACCCTCTACCGAATTTCGTGTAAATTTAACAAACATAGGTTTTTCGGTGCACAATTAACATAAAATCCGACGAAAATACATATAAGACCTATATCTAAATCTGAAGCGATTTCAAAAACACTTATCACATATCATTTTTGCTTCAATTGCATTCGCTATGAAATTGTTTTCCCAATCGGACAAATATTGGGAGTTTGGTGCATCGTTCACATAAAATCGGACGATACTATATATGGGAGCTATATCTAAATCTGAACTGATTTTAACAAAACTTCGCAGACATCAGTCTGGACATAATTTAGTACTCTATGCAATTTTTTGTCTCAATCGGACCAATATTGGGAGTTTGGTGCATCATTTACACAAAATCGGACAAAACTATATATGGGAGCTATATCTAAATCTGAACTGATTCCAAGAAAAGTTCCGATCAGGACCAAATTCAGTACTCTGTGCAATATTTTGTCTCAATCGTATCACCACTGGAAGTTTGATGCACCATTTACATAAAATTGGACGAATCTGTATATTAGAGCTATACCTAAATCTGAACCGATTTTCTCCAATTTCAAAAGGATTAAATTTCGTGAAAATTTTCGCTGTTAAATTTCGTGAATATAGAACAAACATAGCTCCTCGGTGCAACATTTACATAAAATCGGATGAAACTGTATATTGGAGCTATATATGAATCTGAACAGATTCCAACCAAACTTCGCATACATCAATCGGACTATCCATTGCAGTTCGGCGCATCATTTACGTAAAATCGGACGAATCTATATATATCTAAATTTGAATCGATTTTCTTCTATTTCAATAGGGTTCGTCCTTGGCCCTAATTCATGACCTGTGCCAAAATTCACCTTATTCGGATCATAAATGCGACCTGTAGTTTGCTTACAATTTAAAATGGACAAACAGATGGACGGACGAACATAAATCGACTGAGAAAGTGATTTTACGTATATTCTCAAAATGAACTATGGGTCTATCTCAAATATAGGGGGCGAATATAAATAAATTTTAGTATAAAGATTTTTTAGATTTTGGTAGCAAACTGAGCAGAAAACTCCAAATACCGACATATTGGTAACCAATTAGAACCCAGCATACCAAATTACAGGCAATTGTACTAAAAACCTTGGCCAAAATCACCATGTTTTGGGCGTACAGTTATATGGGGGCTTCCCTCAAAAAGTTGATTCATTTTTAGTAGAGTAATTTCATACCAAATGAGGAACACCAAAATACAACTTTTTGGGTTGGAAAACTCCCGAAAATGCCGACAGTTTGTGGAACTTTTATATGGAGACACCCCGAAAAAGTTGTTTTACTGTGGATAATTGGTGCACAATCCGAACTTGACCGGCAGAAAATTTTTTATTCATAAATATTCATTTTGTTTTTATATATAGCTTGTACTTTTGACTGAAATCTCTTACTATGATCTTACAGACGAAGCGATAATTCAGTCTCCGGTTCTAGTCTGGTCCTTCCTTCTAACGGAGAGCCATTTGTGTAAAAACAGTTATCTGAAGTATTTGTCCTACAGATCAGATATTAATATCATCTTTACTAACTGTTTCTGCTTTTCAATCTAAACTCGAAGTCTACACAATAATTGTTCCGATTATTTGTGTCTGCACCCATTATATCCCATTATGTCTACATACATTGTCATCTTTGACTAATGACCATGTTTCGTATTATGATGATTTCTTGTGCACACCACCAGCACCACTAATAGTTGGAGTTATTCCAAAGATTTGCGTCTGCAATCCAACTATGTCACTGAGTTCAGTAGCATTGCCTTTTTCGGCGATGATGATGATGTTGATGAAGTCAGCGACGACGACAACAACATCATCTCATTTTCGGTCTATGACAGCAAGGAGACAGACCGACAACAGCGGCAGCACAACCAAGGAGACCTGTTAATAATCTATCTGTATTATCTCTATCTACTTCATATTCATACTAAGTAAATATTTTTGAACGATGCATGGGCACTTATTAAGATGATTGTATTTTCGTTTGGTGAAATAGTTTTCGCTGAAAGACAAATATTCATACACACAAACATATGTACGTGTATATTCAATTAGAAGGGGGGAATTGGAATCAAATATCCACAGCAAATGCTTCTAGCCAATGCAGACACAATGGAGTGCCGTTTTGGCATTCACTAGTTACTGGTCATTAAATTGGAATTATGTTGGCTGTAAATTTACACAAAATTTAGCATATCGCATTATTAAAAATTGTGTTTATATTCGGATTTTTGTCTATTCATGGTCCGCATATGAACACAAATAAATTATGTTATGGCTTTATTGCAGATTTTTGTTGTTGTTGTTTTAGGTTTTCTGTTTGTTTTCATTTTTGCATTTTGAACAATAATGAGTTGGCCTCCGTGTGTGTGTTTTAAATTAAAATATAAATATGTGTGAAATGCAAAATGCATTTACAATATATTAGAATAAAATCCAATGACATTGGGTGTGGTCGAATGTTACGTATACGCTACTATAACAGGTCAAATATGGATCTACGCAGATAATTTTCTGCATTGATGCATGCCAGCCTTCAAAGTCAAATTATAGTCCCAGCGAACATATTCAAAATCCCGAAATGGAGTCATATGAATATAACATGGATAGAAATATCCCATTTGCACTGTCTCACTGGTGTTTAACATCCAGAAGACCTTTAAGGTCTAATTAAAGGACCTTAAAGGATTTCAGTATAAATCAATCAAGAATTTTTTAGAAGTCCTCTAAGAGGCCTTCTATCTATCGAAGACCTCCTAGAGGGCTCATTCTGTGACTTTCTGTGTATCATCTCTGTGTATAAATATATTCAAGAGTCCTTCTGCATTTATCAAAGTCCCTTCCTATGTATTCTAACTCCAATTGCCTAGTTGATTTTTATGGCACTCTGTGTTTAGAATATCTATATCCAATATCCGTGAACACTTCCATATAAAATTAAATTTATTTATTTTTCTACAAATCCTTATTTCTTTCAGACTACAATGAGTCAAATTCTGTTTCAAAAATATCAACAACAAACATCTGAGCCACAAAGAGAATGCCAAAAATCTCCTTTTGATCACAAGAATAGAGGTAACAATGATTATGAGGATGACGATAATAGAAGGCAATCACCCGATAAAGCCACTGATTCCGATGAAATGGGACATCATATCAAAACCGAACCGCTAGGTGAAGAATCGGAAGATGTGTTAAAAACCCGAACAGATCTAGATGATGGAGATGAAGATGATGGTTATCGAGACGCAGTATCATCACCTCCTACAACTCATTATCCATTACATTCGGCTGGTGCAATATCGCCTATGGCTGGCTTATTGCCACCTCCACCTGCATCATCATCATCGGCATCGGCCGATGCCTCGGAACATTCACTGATGAAAATGCAAATGCGTAAGTTATCAATTAGCGTGTAAGTTATCCTTAGCCATTCAACCATACCACAAAAATGTTTAAAAACTTTATAGTAACCACAATTCCTCATCAATTTTCGAACTCCCATTCGACATCGATGTTGCAACATCCCCACCATCATCATCATCATCACTTAGAAGCTCATCGTTTTCCCGCAACACCATTGGATTTTCAACAGGCCCTAATGTCGGTGGGGCCACCAACCTCAAGTCTAGATCCACCGGTGAATAATAAACATTTTTGTCATATTTGTCGAAGGAATTTCAGTTCAAGTTCGGCATTACAAATTCATATGCGTACCCATACGGGTGATAAACCATTTCAGTGTAATGTCTGTCAGAAGGCCTTTACAACGAAAGGCAATTTAAAGGTATGCATTTGAGGTTAACGATGGATTGAAATGGAAATGTGGTTTGTTATTTGTTGTTGTTGTTTTAATTTCTTGCGATTTAGGTTCATATGGGTACTCACATGTGGACAAATCCAACATCACGTAGAGGAAGACGTATGTCTTTGGAATTACCCATGCATCGACCGGGTGGTGGTAGCATGCCACCGGAATCGGAATTTTTACCAAGGAGACCGGATATATTTTTCCCATATTTGCCACCGTTTTTTAATGGTCTACCACCAAAGGTAAGTAAATATCGGTGGAATGTTATATAGAAAGAGGTTTGGGTGAACATTTTTATAGTATAGCTATATATGGGGTGTACACAGGTCTTGAAGATATTTTATTTACTTCATTAGAAGTGTTCTTATATATAGTTTGACCATGGAAGACCCACAGCAGAACTTGAAGAAACCAAAAAATGATTTTTATCTACATAATGCCTTCCAGATACATACTGCTGTATACTTTTTATATGACACTTTACAATGAAAGTTGTATTTCTAGAGGTCATATGTCGATAAAAGATCTCCTATATATGCAGGATCTTTAAGAGGTTATAAAATATTTATGAGACCTAAGAAGTCGTCAATTTATATGAAAACCGATACAAGACCATCAATATATATACGAGAAGTCTCTTTTATATAGATGACCATCCAGAGGTGTTGGAGGAAGATTTTGTGTAGAAGTCCTCCAAGACCCATTCTATGTGTAAAAGCCCACAGCAAACCTTCAAAAAGTATTCTGTATAAAGATGATCATAAATAGCCCTTCAATATATGGGAGAGCTCCATGAGCCCTTTCATTTAGTGCCCTTCCAAGTTGTGAATATCTCCGAGAACCGTTCAGTGTAGGGAAAACCTTCATGTGCACTTGAATGTAGAGAGTTCTTCTAAGGCAACTTCTATTTTCAGAAGTTCTTTAAGATACTTTTTATGTGTATAAGTACCTTAAGAGGTCTTCTATGTATAGAAGTCCTTGAATAGGTATTCTATGAATAGAGGTCCTGCAAGAGGTCCAAGAGGACCTTAGAGCAAGATGTCCTTTTTAAAAAATATCTTCAAGATGTCTCCAAGTGGACTTCTATATATAGAAGACTTTCAAATGACCTTCAGTCTATGAAATTCCTCTTAGAGACTTTCTGTAAAAGAAAGACAACAAGAGGACTTTCTGTATTTTTTAAAACATCTAAGAGACCTATGGGAAAAAGATAAACTTTAATAAGTCTTTTGTATACAGATGACCCCTAAGGAGGCCTCTTCTTCTATTTATCAAAATGCCCTTCTCATTTCTAATTGATTTTTTCGCATTTCTCTTCCTTCGAATTCTTGCACCTTCCCTATAGCCCGGTGAAATGAACTCAACACCACCATTTCCGCCCCATATCAATCCTCCCCATTTGTCGAATGGCACAAGTACTGGACCCCCTAAATATCCACCTCCGCCACCTCCTGGTTTACCGCTTGGATTTCCACCATTTCTACAACCTCCATACGGCTTCAATCCAATGCTAAATCAGGCCCATTTGGAACGTCAAAGCAATGCAAAAACCCCGCAAAATCAAGATGAGGATGTGACCTCAATGGAACCAAAGAATTTACATCAACATAACAGCAGCAGTAGTAGTAGTCGGGCAACATCTCCACAACAGCTGTTGCCCCAACATCATCATCAACAACACCATTCACAGAGATCTTCACCACTGGAAAAAGAGGATACAATGATGACATCATCCGCAAATACCCTATGGAATCCGTTGATAAAAATTAAAACTGAAAACAATCAAAATGATATTAATCATCTGCAGGATCATAATAGTGAGTCATCTAATCAGGATTAGTTTCATGAAATGGTCCCATGAATTTTAAAATGAAAATAATTCACATGGTATAATATATAATGGGTTAAAATATCTATTAGATATCTTACGGAAAATCTATCTATACACACACACGTATATATAAATAATATTTGAGAAAAAGAAATGATTGAAAATCATGGTTTTTAAGGAGTACATATCTTAAAGCTAACAGTCTTTTTATCTCTCCATTAATGGAGTGATACATTTTTTTTCTAGGCTTAGAAACACTTAGTACTAGAGAAGAACAAGCAAAAGAAACACCCTCACCCCGAAATATAGTTTTAGTTATTTTAGCATATACATAAATATAACTTATACATACACATAAATAAGTATATTATTACAAAGCGATACGAGCAGCAGTATGGTAAAATTATTGGCATTTTTCTTTGGAACATTGCAAAAAATTGCATTTTAGCTATTAAGCTGTAAAAAGTCATTCTTATTTTTTTTAAGTTTAAATTGTAGTGGCTAACCATCAATGGCCGAAAAAAATACAGAATTAAAAAGTAAATAATAAAAAATACATATAAATATAATATAGAATATTATGTATGGCCGTAATAACAAAAAAATCATAAAAACAGAAACAAAATTATAGTAAAACATGTGGTAGTTGCATATGAAATTAAATTATAATAAATTGTAATTCATTGAGAAATGACAGAAAACAAAAATAAATAAAAATATTTAAAAATAAAAATGTAGTATTGATTTTAATTATTTTTGAAGATGTAATATGGGTTTGGTAAGTAAAAAATAAGAACTCGGTATGAAAAATTTCCTTTTCTCGAAACCTGAAAAACAAGGGATCAGTTATAATTTTTACCTAAATATTCTCTCTTCTACACAAGATATCCACAGCAATACATTCACTATCTTTATTATTTGAAAACCATGTTCGCAACGTGAACATCTTGCGGGCCAGAAAATGAATATAAAATATAAACTATTCCAAGATAAAAAAATTATAAAAGATCAAAAATTTAACTATAAAAAATAAAAAAACAGCTAGGTAATCGCCTAATACCACCGCCATCTTTCCAACCAGCTTCTAATATCGGCACCTCCACCTTTGTCTGCCGGCTTCATCTTCCAGCCAAAACCATTGGCCATAGTTTTCGTCAGCTTCTCGATCATACTGCTTCCAAGTGTCCGCATATTTGGCCGGCAGCATCATTCTCCAGGTGCCATTTGTAAACCTCATAATAGCCGCGGCTTCATTCTTCAGCTTGTTCCCGCTTCTGACCGCAGACTTCGTTTTGGTGGGAAAACCTTCCCCTTCTGCTTCACCATTTTTCTTGGCACCAAATTCGTTCCTCTTCGGCAGAACGTCATCTTTATTACGTGGTGCACCATCTAACGTTGGCTGCGTACTAAATGTGTTTGCTGGATCCAACTTCCCGATCGCGTTTCCACGATTTGTATTGACAATCTTCCTGGCTGGAACACCCGTAATTAGCGGTTTCTGCTTACCATCACTATTACATTTTGTTGTGGGTTCAGCGCCATTTTCCGCCGGCTTCATCACCCTACCGGCAAAACAAGTACCAACTGGCGACGCACAGTTCACAGCAAGTATTCCTTTATGTACCTGCTCCTTGTTCACCGTCTTCAGCTTCCCAACTGTACATTGTTCCATAACTGGTTTCTCCGCACCAGCCACCGCATCGTTCTTTTTCATGGCCAACTCGACTGGAGCTAATTTCTGCGCAAATATAATATTACTTTGAGCAAATGGAATATTACTTACTTTCCGCTCCTTATTGCCATTGGCAACCATTCGTATGGCCAAATGGTCACGTTCTGCCTCTGCTGATCGACGGTTCTTCTCCGAAAGATCCAGTTTTTTTAAAAGATTTCTTTTCTCTTCTTCCCAGGATTTTTCTGCTGCCTGGGCTTTCTACGCAGCCGCAACCAATTCACCTTTAAGCTTGAGATCTTGAAAGTACAATTCAATGTATCTATCTCTAGCCTCTCTATAACTTGCCTGTGCCCTTTCTTTAAGGCAACCATTGGCGTCTTCCGATCTTTTTAAAGCAACTTCTAGCTATTTATTCCTTTTCCGTAACTCCTCCACGTCACGACTTCTAGCTATTTATTCCTTTCCCGTAACTCCTCCACGTCACGGCTTATCTCCTCCACTGCTCTTTGAAGGCTGCCCATTTGTTCTTGGGCTGGCCTAAAACCTCCTGCCATATTGGATTTCTTCTCCTATATCTCCATTCACCGATCTCGCACCACCGGATCGCCTTTTACTTCATCGGATGAGCCCCTCACTAGACTTTCTATAAAGTCATATAGGTTTTGTACCACAGTCGTATCTAGTCGATCGATATTCTCTGCGACCATGTTAATATTATTTATTATCTTCATCTGCAGCCGCTATGCTCAGTATTGAAGCTTCACTGGCTAAATGTCTCGCCGTCACCACCTTGTTCCTTGCCGCAGTCTCCTTTTGACTCAGCATTTTGAAGGTTTGCAATATACTGCCTCGTATTTCCTCTGCATCTTCTTCTTCTTCTCTGCTACGGAAATGATGTCTCGCATGATGTCTTCGCATCAGTTTTTCAATTATTTTTTGTCTATTTGGATTTCCACCAAGCTGAGAAAATTTCCTTGGTCTTTAAGGCAAATTTTTCAGCATAAATTTCCTCCACAATCGGTCACTGATCCGTGACCGATTGTGGTTGAAAACCATGTTCGCTACGTGAACAAAACCGTTAGATCTCTCGATATATGTTTTAATTTTTTGTAATTTGACGTTCAGGAGCTCGAATTGAATTGAAGCTGCAACAAAGTCAATGCGTTCGAATTGTTCACGTTTGGCACGAATTATGGCCTTCAAACGGCCAATGAAATCGTCACACGCTGCCCGAATGTTGCTCTAAGGTATTTTGGCCCATTCCCGGCGATGCACTTGCCTGAGGTGATCGACACTCGACCGAAGGTGTACATTTTCAGGTGACCTCTTTTGAAAGTAAATACGATCATTTTGGTTTTTTTACAAACTGTTGAACAACAAATGTTTTCTCATCGGAGAAAACCAAATTCGGCAGTTCACCACCTTCGGCCGAGCGAAGCAACTCTTTGAATTCCATTACGAATAACTTTTTTTCTGGAATATTCTACCAAAATGCTTTTATACGCTTGTAAACAATATAATGATCTGTCACTGGAATAATTCTAAAAGCTGTCGGACGAGTGGCTTAGAAATGACAGCAGTCTGAAGTTGGTTGCAGTTTTTTCATCTCACTGTATGGTGTATTTTAAAGTAGTGATAATATGTGTCGAAAAATATCGAATAACAAAATATTTTTTTTGTTAAATCCCAATAAATTTAATCCGTATAGGTATGTACATACGTCTGTTAGCACTCCGTCTAGATTTCCATCCTGTAGTACTGCTACTAGTGTGAGTACTAATGGCAGAGCTCGTTCTTCTTCTAGCTGCTGCTAGCACTCCCACTAGTTTTCCGTCGAGCTGAACTTCTACCAGTTCCAATGCTGGTAGGCCGGCTGGTTATCCTATACTATCCATACTGCGGCTAGCACTCCGTCTAGTTAGCATACTAGTAGTACTACTAGTAGTTTTCATGTTGGTAGTTAATTTAATTCGTCTACTAGCTTCTATTCCTATTCTACAGATATCTTCCCATCTAGTCATAAAAAAATAGTTTGTCATTGGATTCCAAATTACCCTACTGAAACATATCGAATAACAAAATATTATTTATTAAATCCCAATGAATTTAATCCATATAGGTATGTACATACGTCTGTTAGCACTCCGTCTAGATTTCAATCCTGTAGTACTGCCACTAGTGTGAGTACTAGTGGCAGAGCTAGTTCTTCATCTAGCTGCTGCTAGCACTCCCGCTAGTTTTCCGTCGAGCTGAACTTCTACCAGTTCCAATGCTGGTAGGCCGGCTGGTTATCCTATACTATTCAATACTACGGCTAGCATTCCGTCTAGTTTTCCATCCAGTAGTACTACTAGTAGTATTCATATTGGAAGTCAATTTAATTCGTCTACTAGCTTCTCTTCCTATTCTACAGATATCTTCCCATTTGGTCATTCATGTAGTCCTGCAATTCCTACATAGAATGCTCAAAACATCCCATCCAGACAAGACCGTTACATACAGGTTTTCATTTCGCTGAATAATTCCATCCGCTTGCCTCCACAAGAGTACCTACAGTAGCAGTCCATGCAGGGAATTGATCCAAATACTTCATTCCTAATCATGGAATTTAATTGTAATGGTCTGAGAGATCACAAGCTTCATGCATGAAAACAACATCCTCATTTCTTATTTGCAAGAAACAAAGCTGATCCGCAATGAATGCAAGGCCCCCTCAGGGGTGGTGGGGCCGATATGCCAGATATACCCTGAATTCCCCTCCGTCCCCTTACTAGTATGATCCTTTCCTGGAGGTTTTGAGCATTTCAGTTCATTCCGATGATTTTGAAATTGTCAATATACACATTTATCATCCAAGCATCATCCATCTGCTGCAGGAAGTTAATAAAAATTGTTCTTGACGATTTCACCGCTCATCATGACATATGGTTTTCTCAACTTCCAGACGACCCTCCCGGTATTCTTTTTGCGAACCAGAAAGGCGAATTCGATTTCGCCTTCATAAATGAGGAATCCTCTTCCAGAGTCTCTGCTAGGTGTTCGAGCTCTCCGAACATTACTATAGTCACACCATCGCTCCGCTTTTAATTCAGACTATTTGCATCCCGGTCACTGTGGTGAAAAACCCAGATCAGCGTACATTCATGAATTGTAATAAAGCTAACAGGAGCGGCTTCCATTGAGGACTCCTTAAATCCTTTGCCAGAAAGGGCTAGAAAATATAACGTGAAATTATTCTAAAAACGGCAAACAGCTTCATTCCCACTGGCAAAACCTTAGAAAACCTTAACCACTGCAGTATAAGTTCTGATTCCAAGAGAAATAACAATTTCCC